AAGCATGATCATTAGCATTGGCATCACCAACATCTTCACCATCAGCATCATGACACCACCACCATCAGCAACCTCATCACCATCATCATCGTGATCATTAGCAGCATTATCATTCCATTCCCATCACCATCATCAACTTCACCATAACTATCAATACCATCATCGCCCTCATCCTCATCATCAGCATCGTCATCGTTCTCATCAGTACCAGCAGCAGCACCAACATCTTCATCCTCATCACCGCAATTAGCATTGACACCATCATCATCATCCCCCTCCTCCCCCTTCTTACCATTACCAGCATCATCATCATCATCATCAGCATCAGCATCAGCATCAGCATCATCATCATCCGTAACCTCATGCTCAGCATCGGCATCAGCAACAGCAACAGCAACAGCAACAGCATCATCACCATAAGCATCATCACCACCCTTATTAGCAGTTTCACCATCACCCGTCATAAGGTTGATGCGTATCATCGTAATCAGCAGCATCCTCACCCTCATCATCAGCATCATAATCATCACCATCATCATCACGATCACCACAGCCATCATCATCACCATCACCATCATCACCATGCGCAGAAGCATCAGGATCATCACTATCATCATCACCAATAGCATCATGGCCATCATCATCATCAGCAGTAGCATCAGCATCATCATCGAGAGCGTCAGCAACAGCATCATCGGCAGCATCGGCATTATCATCACCAACACCATCATCATCATCATCATCATCATCATCATCATCATCATCATCATCACCATCATCAGCAGCATCAGCATCCCCCATCATTATCATTAGCAGCATTGTCATCATCGTCATAGCAGCATCCTCATCATCAGCATCAGCATCAGCATCAGCATCATCACCATCATCGTAAGCATCAGAATCATCACCACCATCATCATCACTATCACCATCATCATACGCAGAAGCATCAGGCTCATCACCATCATCATCATCATCATCATCATCATCATCGTCATCATCACCAACATCATCAGCAATAGCAGCATCATCAGCAGCAGCATCAGCATCATCATCAGCATCATCATCCTCGTCATCATCATCACCATCAGCATCCTAAGCAGTCGTATCACCATCATCCTCAGCATGAGCATCTTCGTTCGCATTTGCATCACCACCGTCTCGACCATAATCATAATCTTTACCATCATCACCATCATCCATCATCATCACCACCACCATCATCAACCTCATCACCATCATCATCAGCATTGTCATCGTGATCATCAGCATCATCATCCTCAGCATCATGATTAACTTAACCATTATCATCAATACCATCATCGTCCTCATCCTCATCATCAGCATCGTCCTCATTATCATAAGCATCAGCAGCAGCACCATCATCCTCATCATCATCACCACAAACAGGACTGACACTATCATCACCCTCTCCCTCCTCATCACCATTATCATCATTATCAGCACTATCATCAGCATCCTCAGCATCTGCATCAGCAACAGCAACAGCATCATCACCATCATCATCACCACCATTATTAGCAGCTTCACCATCACCCGTCACCATCATTAGTATCAGCATCATCGTCATCAGCAGCATCCTCATTCTCAGCATCAGCATCAGCATCAGCATCATCACCATCATCATCACGATCACCACAACCATCATCATCACCATCACCATCATCATACGCAGGAGCATCAGGATCATCACCCTCATCATCATCACCATCATCATCAACAGCAGCAGCATCATCATCGAGATCATCAGCAACAGCATCATCAGCAGCATCAGCATTATCATCACCATCACCAGCATCATTACTATCATCAGCAGCATCACCATCCCCCATCATCATCATTAGCATCCTCCTCATCATCGTCACAGCAGCATTCTCATCATCAGCAGCATCATAGTCAGCATCAGCACCATCGCCCTCATCATCATCACCACCACCATCATCATCACCATCACCATCACCATCATCATACGCAGAAGCATCAGGCTTATCACCATCACCATCATCAGCAGCATCACCAACATCATCTGCAGCAGCATCATCAGCAACATCATCATCATCATCATCATCATCATCATCATCATCATCATCATCATCATCATCGTCATCATCATCATCAGCAGCAGTATCAGCAACGACATCAGCATCATCAGCATCATCATCAGCAGCAGCATCATCAGCAGCAGCATCGTCATCACCGAGTGAGAGAGAGAGAGAGAGAGGCCACCCATCGCCCCCCCCGGGGGACGTGCGGCGGGCTCGTGCAGGTGTCGGAAGGCCCCCAGGTCGCCTCCGGGGAGCAGCGGGGCGGCGGGCCTCGTTGGCGTCTCTTCGCTCCTCGTGGCACCCAGAGAGCCGGCGCTCGGAACAAAAAGTGGGGGCGGGCGGTTTGGGGGCCGTTTTCGGCCCCGGGGGGACCTCGCCGGGCCTCGGGGGCGTCAAGGCACGACCCGGGGCGGAAAAACGGTCCAGGGGGGGGGGGTGGTTTGGACGTCGGGGCCCACGCCTCCAAAAGAACTGGAGCAGCGGGGTGTTTGGGAGTGCGGTTCGAGGATCCACGTTTTCCAGCTTCGGAGGTTGAGATAGACCTCCTACCCTGACACGTCGATAAGCGAATTGGCCGCTCTCGGTTCGCGAGAGGGCGTCGCGGCCGTCATTCTTGCGGGTCCAGGTCCGTCGGTTTCGGTCTTAGGCCGTTTTCACTCAAGGGTGGTTTGCTAATGGGAGGTTTGTCCACCGCCGAGCTTTTGAACTTTTGAATTCTTGAAGGAGTACGGTCAATAGCTTATTGAACTTTCGCATAGGTTCTAGCCCACCGAGCTGCGGCGCGACACGCTGTCAACTTTCCCGGTCTCGAGGCGTCAACGTCCAGGGCATTGCCCGGCCCCCAATTCCCCCTAGAGCGGAGCAGCACGCCATCCACCTGCAAGGCATGGCGTGTGCCCTCCGCAAGGCTCGCAGGAGCACCCAGCAGGTCCGGATCGCCCGCGGGCCCCATCCCGGTGCCCGCACCGTCACCAATGCCGGATCGTCCTGCCTGTATTTGGGGATTGCCCAAAAAAAGGCCCTGCCTTCGCGAACAGAAGGAGTTGTCATCTCTTCCGCGGCGGAATGTCGGCGGAAGTAAGACGAGGCCGCCTCCGCCAGCGGAAGCTGGCAGAGGGGCGGCGGAAGGTGGCGGAAGTGAAAAATGCGCCCCCAAGAGATGGAAACGTTTTTAGGTCCAGGGTTTCCGAAATCGCCCAGTTGGTCACGAATTTAGGCACAGGCTCGGTCGTACCCCCCAGTGGTGGCCAACTATCACAATTCGTCTGTCACATTCACAGCATGGCACCTGTTCCAAGCATCGGCCTCGGACGAACTCGTCTTAGCAGGCGGCCAATTCAATCCACATCTTCGCTCATCCCTCTCACCATCGTCCTCTGCTTGCTTCAGGCGCTCTTGGACTGGTGCCCCTTCCCCCCCCCCGTCGCCCTCGCTCCTGGAGCATCCTCCCCCTCCTCCTCGACCCTCGCTCTCCTCGGTCCTGGGCCCTCAGTCCCGCCCCCCCCCCCTCCTCGATCCTCCTCGGTCGATCGACCCCCGACCTTGCTCGAGGCAGGGGGCGGCGGCGGCGGCGGCACCGCGGCGCGCGAGGCCTCACCAGGGCACGGCCTGGGCGGGGGCGCGGGGCGGCGGAGACCCCCCCCCCAAAGGCGGTGCGCGTGCGCTGGGACCGCGAGCAGCTGCGGCGGCTCCTGTGCCCCGCGGCCGCTCCCCTGGCGACGGCGGCGGCGGCGGCGTCCTTCCTCGGCCCACGACGGCAGGCGACGTCGGCCTCGGCCTCGGCGGCGGCGACGGCCTCGGCGGCGTCGGCGACGGCGGCGGCGGCGTCGGCGTCGGCGACGGCGACGGCCTGGACTGCGGCGGTGGCGGCGACGGCGCCGGCGGCGAGGGCGTCGGCCGGGACCAAGACCAACACCACCATGGCCACGATCACGGCGGCGGTGGCGGCGACGACCAGTTGCGGCGGCTGCTGAGCCCCGCAGACGCTCCCCAGACGGCGCCGGGGAAAGGAGGGCGGCAGGAGCGTGCGGTCGTAAATGTTTGAATAGCGTATCGCTGCGCCGGTGCGTTCTTTTCCGGGGTGGACAGACCTCCTACCCTGACACGTCGACAAGCGAATTGGCCGTTTTCGGTTCGCGGGAGGGCGTCGCGGCCGTCATTTTTGCGGGTCCAGGTCCGTCGGTTTTGGTCCCAGGCCGTTTTCACTAAAGGGTGGTTTGCTAATGGGAGGTTTGTCTACCGCCGAGCTTTTGAACTTTTGAACTCTCTTGAAGGAGGAGTACGGTCAATAGCTTCTTGAACTTTCGTATAGGTTCTAGCCCACCGCGCTGCGGCGCGACACGCTGTCAACTTTCCCAGTCTCGAGGCGTCAACGTCCAAAGCATTGCCCGGCCCCCAATCCCCCTGGAGCAGAGCAGCACGCCATCCACCTGCAAGGCATGGCTTGTCGCCAGGGCCGCCGCGGCGACACGTCGCCCAAAAGTTCCCGACCGTGAGCGTTTGAAGGCCCGCGCGGACTTCCTGGATCGGCGCTGGAATTTCCTGGCGCCGATCCAGGAAAATCGCGCGGACCTTCAAAAGAATGCGTGATTGCGCGTGTGTGCATGCATTGTGGTGTTTCTTCTAGCCGCGACGGCGGCGACGACGACGACACCGACCACCACCGCCATGATCACGGCGGCGACGGCGGCGGAAGAGCCCGTCCCCACTGATCGCCGCCCCTCAAAAGCGCCCCACGAGGGCGCCAAGAGGACACCCAAGAGGGCCCGACGAGGCTTCGGCATCGCTGAGTCCCCGAAGGGCTTGTGAGTGACTCGCCTCCTGTTCGACCTGCCAGCGCTCCAAGACGGCCAAAGCGACGCCCCCCCCCCCTCTTCTCCGCGGCCCCCGCGGCTCGAGGCAGAGGGGCCCGCCGCGGAGGCGCGAGCCTCTGCCCCCCCCCGTGCCCCCCCTTTTCCGATAATGGAACGCGGCCGCTGACTCGCGTGCGCACGCCCCGTGCGCTCCGCGACGACGGCCATCGACGAAGAACAAAAATGCACCGTCGGAGAGGAGGAGGAGGAGGAGGAGGAGGAGGAGGAGTTGGAGGAGGAGGAGGAGGAGGAGCGAGAGAGGAGGAGAAGGCGGAGGCGGAGGCGGAGGTGGAGGAGGAGAAGGAGCCAGAGCCAGAGCCAGAGCCAGAGCCAGAGCCAGGGCTGGGCTCACAGCGATGCAGGCAACGGCGATGCAGGTTTCGGTCTTGTGGGAGCGCGCAGCTCGCGCTCTCCTGCAATTCGCCGTGCCGTGCTCGCCGGATCCACTCGCAGAGATCGGACGTGCAGGACAGCGTGGCCCGTGAGTTCCTACAACGTCGGTTGCCAGCATCACCGTTGAGCCACATCGCCAGTAGCCCGGCCTTGGACACCGAAATAGATGCACCGTCGGAGCTCCTCACGGGCTTCTCGGATCTGCGCTAGGTGCACCCCTGGCGGCGCCTCCCGCGCCGCCCCTGGCGCGCCCCGCGCGCAAGGAAGGGGGGAGTCCAGCGCCGATCCAATGAATCGGCGCGGAGCTCCGAAAGTCTCTGCTGATGTGCTGTGTGTTTGTTCTTGCAGGCCATGCACATGAGGGCGGCGGCCGCGCTGCTGCCCTCCGCGGCCATCTGCGCAGGCGCGCTCCGCTCCGCGGCTGGCCCGGCCCGGGAGGGCTCGGGCCTGAGCGCCGGGCCCAGCGCATGGTCGGCCGCGAACGCCTCGGCGGTGAAGCAGGAACGGCTGCGCGCAAGAGAGACCCTTCGCTGGAGTGGCCTCTGGTGCGGGCTCACAGGGCTCCCCCCCAGCATCTGGCCTGCGCGTGCAGGTTTGGCCCACGCGGCCCCCTAGAGCTGCGCACCGAAGGTCGCTGTTGCCTCCTCCCCCTCCTCCTCCTCCCCCTCCTCCTCCTCCCCCCCTCCCTCCCCCTCCTCCTCCCCTCCTCCTCCTCCTCCTCCTCCTCCTCCTCCTCCTCCTCCTCATCCTCCTCATCCTCCTCATCCTCCTCATCCTCCTCCCTCCTGCGCGAAGCCAGCAGGGCCTGTGGCTCTCCCCGTCGTCCTTGACGCTGGAGCTGCCGCCGGGCCTCGGCGCTCCGGAGGCGCCCGAGGGCGCGGCCGAGGCGGGCCTGGGCGGCAGGCTGCCACCCCCCAAGGGGGTCGCCAACTACCGCCAGTTGATGACCAACTTCGCTGACGCCCAGTACGTGGCCTACCTCGACGTCGGCGGGCAGACGATGGGCGCCGTCCTGGACACGGGCTCCTTCGAGATGGTGGTGTTCTCCAGCTCGTGCTACTCCTGCGGGCAGGCCGCGAAGTACAGCGGCCGTGACAGCACCACGTACGTCCCGGGGAAGAGGGAGACGGAGCAGTCCTACGGCAGCGGCACAGCGTTCTCGCACGACGCTTGGGACTCCGTGAGGCTGGGCCCCTTCGGGTCGGACAACCAGACGTTCTGGGAGGTGGTCGACGCCGACATGCCGGTGCTGGCGACCGCGAACTTCCACGCGGTGGTGGGCCTCGGCCCGCCAGAGACGCCCGCCGTGGACGCGTGGTCGAGCGCCGAGAGCGCTGCCCACACGATCTTTGGCGGCGCGCACGGGGGGGTGGCGCGAGGGGGGGGGCGGCCTTCTGAGAGGCCTGCTGGGGGGTGCGTCTTGGAGGGCAGGGGGCCTCTCAGAGGCCGCCCCGGCTTCCCAGACGCCTCCCCAGAGCCTAGAAGCCCGAGGGGGCCTCTCTCAAGAAGGCCCCCCTGCACTCTCAGAGGAGCCCCGCCCTCTTTGAGGCCGCCAACCCCTCCTCGCGGCAGCCCCGGGTGCGCGCGGCCAAGCGATGGTGGAACACATCGCGCAGGGCATCCAGGAGAAGTCAGAGATCGACTGGGCAATGGGCAAATTCGACCTGGCCTTCCAGTCGAACCGCCGGGGGACCGTCCTGCACAACTTTGGCGTCGCAGCCTTCTCCATCTGTATCGGCGCCAGGCCCGGGGCCGACGGCTACTTCGTCTGGAACGACACGAGCCACAGGGACTTCCCAGAGCGCTTCGTGCGGCTGCCCGTTGTTGGGGCCCAGACGTGGACCGTCGACGTGTCCGCGGTGAGGCTCACGCCTCGCCTCAGGCACTCCAGGGACGGCCACATCGACGTCGGCTGCTCCGCGGAGCAGCCCTGCAGCGCCATGATCGACAGCGGCACCGCCCTGCTCGTGGTCCCGAGCTTCGCGGTGAGCGCACTGGCCGAGCAGGCCAGCAAGCTCAACGACGACTGCAGCAACATCCAGGACCTCCCCGGGCTCAGCTTCACGATGCACGGCTCCACGTTCACGCTCCCGCCCGACGCCTACATCGGCCAGGTCACCGGGGAGGTCCCGGCCTACATGCGGCTGAGCCCGCAGCTGCAGCTGAGCCCGCAGCTGCGGCGGCTGGGCCCGCACCTGCAGAGCCGGCGCCTGCGGAGCCCCAACGGCACGTGCGAGCTCGTGGTGATGGAGTCCACCGCGCAGTCGAGCACGGGTCCGCTGTTCATCCTCGGCCACCCGTTCTTCAGGTCGGCGCCCCCAGGGGGGGGGGGGCAGAGTGAGCCTTGGCATCGCTCGGACGTGTGCCCGTTTCTCGGCGAGGACCCTCGAGGAGCACCCTGGGGCCTCCTGCGCAGGGGTGCACGCACGGAGAGCCGAGAGGTGCACGGGGGAGGGGCGCCCGAGCGATGGCGAGGTGCGCAGGCCTTCCGAGCAGGCCTGCCCCCGCTCGCCGCCCCCCGCTGGGCGCGCCGCCGCCCAGGGCCTACTACGCCACCTTCGACCTGGGCTCCACCGCCCGGGAGCGCGCCGTCCACGTGGCGCCCGCCACCGAGCAGTGCACGCCGGCGAAGGCCGTGCCGGGCGACACGGCGCTCGCGCGGCTCTCGGCCCAGGGCAGGCGCCAGGTGGCGCGCTCGAGAAAAGGCCTCGCCTGCGAAGGCATTTCCTCGGCGGGGTGCGGCAGAAGTGTTAAGTCGGGCACCTCCCTATACAGGAGGAATACTCAAAGATAGTAAAAAAATAGTATGGGGGCGATTTTTTAATTATTTCTGAACAGTTTTGAATATGTTTGACCCTTTTTTTGTTTTTCCTCCATAATCCGCCTGTAGGGTGACATGCCCGACCTAACAGAAGAGATAGGGGGGCGGCTCCGCTGGCTCGAGGCCGGCAGAAGCTGGCGAAAGCGAAAAATGGCCCCCCAAGAGGTGGTGAGTAAAGGCACGGGGTCTAGGCCGCCTGGGTGGGGTCCGCGCAGATGGGGTCGGAGGATCGCGCCGTATCGTCGAGGCATCGGCGATGCGGCTCGATGTGGAGCCCGATGTCCTTCCCGCTGGAGTCGCCGATGCATCGTCGATGTCGCCAACGCATCGCCGATGCTTCGTCGGTGCGGCGTGATCCTCCGACTCCCTCTGCTTCGACCCCATCTAGCAGGCTTCTGGGTAATCAGAGGCACAGGGTTTCTGGAACCCGCCAGGTGGTGCCGGAGACGCCGTTCTGGCGGCGCCTGGAGCCCTCGAAGATGTTGATGCCTCACGCGGTGCTCAAGGCTACCACGTCCCAATTCGTCAAGGTCTGAGGAGGCGGCAGGCAGTTCCTCCCCGCCGCCCCCATGGGCCCTTGGGTGCGCGATCTTGCCTGGGTCGAGAAGGATAGGGAGCGGATGGGAGCCTGTGGCCAGCCCCGACGGAGGCTCAGGTGTAAGTGGCAAGTGCCGATGTCCACTTGGTTTGCGTTCACGCGGGTGGACGGCGCAGGAGCATCGGAGCCAGCTTGGAGACGTTTTTCGCGCGTCCTTCGTTTTGATAAAGATGAGGGCAAGGAGGAGGGGCAGGAGGAGGAGGAGGAGGAGGAGGAGGAGGAGGAGGAGGAGGAGGAGGAGGGGGCGGGGGAGGAGGAGGAGGAGGAGGAGGAGGAGGAGGAGGAGAGGAGGAGGAGAAGGAGGACGAGGAGGAGGAGGAGGAGGAGGGGGAGGAGGAGGAGGTGGAGGGGGGGAGCGGGAGAGGGAGGAGGAGGAGGAGGAGGAGGAGGAGGAGGAGGAGGAGGAGGAGGACCTGAGGAAACCCAGGATGCACCAACTATGCTGCAACACACACTCCCGTCTCAAGCCCCCTCCTCGCAAGCCCCTGACAAGCTGTCGCTTTCACAATTAGAAGCTGCCCCTTGAAAGGCGAGCACACTATATTGTCCAGGCTCTCAGGCAATTGCTTCCTACGTTGAACCTTCCAGCTGAGGATCATTCAAGCGAGAACGACATTGTGAGAATGAGTTTTTGCATCTTTGCAAGTGTTGCATAGGTTAAGACGAATGCGTGCGGTAAAGCGAGGGCCACGTTCCTCTATCTTTACAGATGTTGCATGTTAGAACGAATGTGCGCAGCGCTAGGGCGGGAGCACCTTCTTCAAGACCTCCATCTTTGCACGCGTAACAAAAATTGACGGTTTCGCGCGGCGCATAGGCGAGATCACCATTTTGAAAATAGCCTTTCAGTCCATCTTCTTTGCAAGCTTGAAAAGAACGTGCGCGGCGCTAAAGCGAAAGCCCCATTTGAGAACGCCCCCACTCCATCCGTGCAGTTGTTGCCAAATTCAAGCTTCGGGAGCATAAGTGGTGAGGAATCCTCAGGCGAGACGCCCGGCCCGCTCAACCGACACGTCTGGAGGTGCGACGGAGAGGAGTTTCGCATCAGGGAAACGGACGGAGGACGGGGACGAGGAGGATGAGGAGCAGGAGGGGAAAGAAGAGGAGGAGGAGGAGGAGGAGGGTAGGATCAATGATCGAGGAAAGCGAGCGGGAGGAAGGAGAGACGCAGGGCGGATTATCGCTCCCCGCCGTCCTCTCCCCCCGTCTCTCCCTCCACCCGCCCCTCCCTTCCTGCGCCTCCCCCCACCTGCGCCTCCCCGTGCCAATCCCTCCCTTCCCCCCCCCCAGCTTGTGGCCTGCGCCTCTGCCGGGTTCGTGGTTTCTGCCGCTGCGCTCCGCTTCTGCCGAGGGGATGCTCGGGCATCTGCATCGGGCACTGCCGCCGCCGTCTGGTGTCCAGTGCGCGGTCGGTCGGCACAGTGAGCACGCGCTGCCCGGGCCTGGGGAAGCGGCCATCCTGAGCCCACCTGCGGCCCGCCATGCTCTTGCAGCGCCCCGTGCCACCCCACCTCCCCCCTCGCACACCCCCACAGCACCCCCCTACAGGGCGCGTGCCGTGGATGCGACGACGTGGCTTCCAGAAAGGGCCTCGCCTTCGGACCGTCTTCGCCGTTGGTGGATACCGGCGGAAGGCTGGTCGAAGCCGGGGGAGGTGCGGAGGTTTGGCGAAAGTTAACGTGGGGCGTCAATGTTTTGGGGTTCAGGGTTTCCGGAGACGGCCACGCGTCGCCGTCCGGATTGAAAGTAGGGTTATCGTGCGCGCTGGTCTGGGCGGTGGCTCGCGTGCTGCCGCGGCGGCGCGCAGACGATATGCGTCGGGGTCAGATCACACCGACAAGTGGCACAGACGACAGCCCGAGTTGCCTCAGCAAGGGCACGCGTGCGCTTTACAAGTGCACGTAGATTCGCGAGCGCGTGCATACACGGTCATGCCGATGTGCCTTTCTTATATATAGACTCAACCCGCATAGTGAGGATGGGCCATTGTCCAAGGTTGCCCTTGCATCCTTCCCCGTCGGCCCATCCTTGGCCGCTTTCGCTGGCCGCGTCCCGCTCGCAAAGTGTCGGCAGGGCCTTCCAAGGCCCTTCCTTGCGTCCTTATCCTGCGTCCGTATAATACGGGTTGACTGTATGATGCACGTGGGTCGCTCCAGAAGTGACCTCGCCCTCGAGGTCTCGATAGGGTTGGCTTCTCGATACCTCGGCTGACAAGGCAGGCGTCAGAAGCAGGCGGAAGCAAAAGAAGCCTCCCCAAGAGATGGCAATACTTTGGAGGCCAAGGCTTCAGAGTGAGCCACGTGTACTGGTGCAGTCGCGTGCGCGCGTGACCAGATTATTCGACGTCGGCGTTGTTCGCAGGGAGGGGGGCGGGGAGCGCGAGAGCGTGGGGACCCTCTGGTGGCGCACGTCTGACCGAAGCCCATGCGCTATCGCATAGGATTGCGCAGCGTCACGTGGTGTGGTATGGCATCTCATGGCACACCACCCAACACGGAACAGCATAGAAATGCAGGGAACGTCATTGCATGTGATTGTCTAGCATCGTTTACCGCAGCATCGAACTATGTATCATACACTAGCGTAGCATAGCGGGGCACAGCACAGCATCGTACAACGTAGTAACGGGCTAGATATAACAGCATCCTGCACATCGTATCATGGCACAGCACAGCAAGGCATTGCATGGCATATCGCCGCGGAGCATGGAGCAGCAAATCATCTCACGGCATCGCACTGCACGATCAGCCATGGCATGGCGCAGCCGTGCAGGGCATACTATGGCGCAGCCTTGTCCTGCACGGCATCGCACGGCACCAGACAAGTTACTACGGCTGCATAGCAGCATCCGGGCCTCCGGGGACCCAGGGATCGACTCCCTGGGGCACGGGGGGCACGGGAGCCGAGGTCCAGCGGCCAGGCGTCCGTGCGGATTCTTGGTAGCACTTGCTTCGGCTACACGTAAGAGTGACCCTTGGCCAGCGAGACCTTTCGTGTTGGCCCTAATGGGGTCGGACAGATTTTCTTGAGGAGTGCGCTCGGCCTCGTGTCGGCGCACGCTGCACCAGTCTGCGATCGCATCAGAGCGCGCTTGATTCAGGGTGCGCCCCTCGCAATCGATCGCAACGCATGCACGGTGTGTTCTGCCGCGTGCTTCGTTTGGCGAGGGGGGGCCCAGTCGAGCGGGCGACGTGCTCTCCGCTTCGGGACCGGTCCCAAATCGTCCTGGAATAATTTTGATTAACTTTGAATAACTTTTCGCGCTCCGCGCTTTACAACTCAATTCTTCACTATTGAAAGTTATTTGCGGCCGCGGGGGGGTCAAGTTTCGGCCCGGTTTCGGCCTTGACGCAGGGCCCAGTCAGACGTCATCGCGATGCGGCCCAGCAGTGCCAGAACATTCCGCGGTGGCGCCCGATTACGTCTGGCTTCGCAGAGCCCTCGGGCGGGTGTTCTGGGGCGCCCGGAACGAATTGGCGGAGGTCCGCAATTGCTTGCTGGCGCAAGGGATCTGTCGCGCGCCCCACCGATCGTTGATGCAATCCGACGGCCTCGGCTTGCGCGGTTGCGCCAGGCCCCCGCGAGCCCCCCTAAGGCCGCGCACCAAAGGGCACTCTTGCCTAGGGTCACTCTTACGTGTCGCCGATTGCTGTCGCAGATATATACACAAGCACATGCAATGACGAGCGCGTGCACGCATGCGACGTGCGCACACGTGCAAGTGCATTCAAATACCGGTGGTGATGCACACGCGCATTGGCATACGCAAATGGGTGTACATGTGTTCGGGCCGTGCAAGCATGTACGCTCGTGTGTGCGCACATACCGACTATATGCATCGGCAGTTGTTATCCTTGTATACGTCTGCGCACGCAACGCTTATGCGTATGAACACATGTGCGTGCGGGTGTGCAAGTGCGCAGGTATGTCAGTATGCTCGCATGCTTGCGTGTGCGCGCATGTGGTCATTTGTGCGCGTGCGTGTTGTCAAGTGCGCACCTCCACGATTTGATATGATGGTTCGAATAACAGTTGATATGTGTATATATATAGAGAGAGAGAGATAAAGAGTATGTGTAGAGTATATGTAGAGAGAGGAGAACAAAAATAATGTCCGATTTCCGTGCTGATTTCTTGGATCGGCGTTGGACACCCTTGTCGGCGCCTTCGGCGCCGCCCCTGCGCCAGGAAGCGGTTTCCGGCGCCGATTCGAAAAGTCCGCGCAGACCTCCAAAAATTGTGCTTACGCAGCTGCTTTTTTTACCATTATTAGTCGGGTGATCAATATGATTCCCACTCTTACTAAATTATGGGAGGCCGTCACGTGTGACAATTCGGGCCTCTTGAAGGTTCTGAGGGCCTCTTGAGGGCTTATTAGGGGCCTGTTGGGGCCTCTTGGCAGCGCCTTGGGAGCTCCTCGCGGGCTCTTGGGGGCTCCTTGGGCCGTCTGAGGGCGCTCTTGGGCCGTAGGGGCGCTTTCAGAATCTATCTTGGGGGCTCTCTGGGTCGTCTTGGGGCTCTCTTGGAAACTGTGGGTGTCGTCTAAGCGCCTTCTTGGGCCGAGTCGGGGTCACCTTGGGCCGGTCTTGGGCCATCTTGAGCCGTCTTGGGGCCATTTTAGTGCCCTCCTGGGCCGTCTTGAGGCCATGTTGGAGGCTTCTTGGGCTGCCTCGAGCCGACGAAGGCTCGAAACAGCGAGGTTGCGCAAGTTTGTCTTTTGAGGTACGGGAAGTCAGTGATTATGGCCTTGTCGGGCTTTGCTGGAGGCTCTATTGGAGCCCTCTTGGGCCGTCTTGGAGGCCTTTTGGGCCGTATCGAGGCCGTCTTGAGACGTCGTAGGCCGTCTTGGAGGCCATCCTGGGCGTTTTGGACGCCTTGGGGAGCGCCAGCGAGGCGTCTTGGCCGCCCAGGGAGCCCCAGGAGCAGGGATGATGCAGTCAACTCTGTGTGGGACACAGGATGGGGGGTCTCTTTGGCTGGAAAACTACCAGAACCCTGCCAGGCAGCACTTGCCATTCTTCCGCTATTCTTACGAAAAGTATTGTCCGTAGTTTTAGAATTCGTATTATCATTATGACCATTACTTGTGTTGTTATTGCCTGAAGTATGGTGATTATTGAGAAGGCCTTACGGCCGGTGCCGCCGACCCTGAATGGCGACGACGACGA